ATTTATTTATTTATTTATTGCATTCAAGCTGCATTTTCTCAGGAAATGCAGTTTCTCATGTTTAATCCATGTTTTCTAATTGTTCTCCTACCAGGACCTCCTGGACCCCCCGGAGTGGTGATAGTAGAGGAGATCACAGACACCACAGCCACCTTGTCTTGGAGTCGTAGCCTTGACAACCACAGCCCTATCAGCACCTACAATTTACAAGCCCGAAGCCCCTTTTCATTAGGGTGGCAAACTGTCAAAACAGGTAATCAATAAGGAGCAAATTGCTGCCTCTAGATTTAAAAGTTTAATGCGGGCCCATAAACAAAGCCCATATTCCTGCCTTCAGTAGTATACAAAAAGGAGAATTAGCTCAACCGGAGCAAGGTAGGGTTAACGAGTGGCATAATTAAAATGTCTTCTGGTAATTTGCTTCAAAATATAAACATTAATGAATCTGACACGGTTGGTCTGAAACAAATATATCTGCTGGTTTCCTCAGATGCCCGTTTAAAAAGTTCAAATAAAAGCTTTGTTTTATTGCTGAACTTGGTCTTTGTTGAAGAGTTTTGTTAAATATAACGAGTCTGTTTCAAATGTCACTGTCAGATCAGCACTTAGCAGCAAATTAACCTTTTGGACTTGAATTATAAGACTCGCCCATTTTCATTGAATATGTAACACATTGAAATCTTTAGAATCAAATGAAATCCTGTTTTTTTTTGGGGGGGGGGGTGTTCTTTAGAGAATAACCATCAGTTATTATCACTTAACATTAATGGATGAGGGCTTGCTAAGCGTTGTGTGCAATCTATCTTAATATGCCGTGAGATAATAATAGCAGAGTCTAAGGTGCGATAATGATACATCCCCAAAGAAATATTAATCATACTTTGTATACACTCCTCTCACATCATGTCTGTTCAACTACATTTAATTCAATAAAGCACAATTAGGTCCCAGTGATACATTTTGGGTGTTGAAGTTGTTCAGATTAGCATGAAGGGGACTGAGGGTTTAGCCCTGACTTCTTGCAAACAAAGCTATCAGTTCATGTTTGAAGACCAGCTTGCTTGACAGACTCGTCTCATTGTTAGCTGCTTTTTTGTGATAAGAGCCTAAGCTGCACTGCCTCAGAGAGCTATGGTTCATTTGTGACATGGATAAGCTTTCAGTTAATGTTTATTTTCTACTGCTGGATCAATATTGGCAATGCTTGATTATGGAAGTCATGAATTTAAATAAATAAAAAAGCTAGATTGGTTAAGTTCCCTCCTGGTAATTTAGTTTTAAATACATTTTAAAAAGGCATTCTGCAGCCTGGGATTGTGATTTATGACGTCGCTCAGTTCTGCAGAAACTGCGAGAATTGATTGAATGGGTAATGACTTCTACTTCTTTATGTGCTTTGATGCCGCAATTAAGCTGTTGTTCATGCATCAAAATGTCATGTGCCGAGTGTTAAGTAAATTCTGGAACATCACCACCTGGTGTGAAAAGATGCCAAGTCACGGGGAATCTGCAGAGGAGATAAAAACCGTGTGCAGTCGTTAAGAACAAAGGCGATAGATGTTTTCTCTTTCTCTCTCTCTCTGTACTTCTGCTCACTGAATTCGAAATAAAACAATAGTTACAGTTTAGAGGTTAAAGGATTGTGTCTCAGCCTTTACACGCTAGAGTAAACTGTGCAGAAATTGTTTTCTGTGCCCACCACCACCATTTACCACAGTTTTAGAAAGCATAAAGTGGCACATCCTCATAAGGACTTTTAATGCAATGTGTTGCTGTTAATGAACGCCTGAAAGCTACAACCCGGGTCCTGTTAACCTGTCATGTCGCTGCTCACTTAATTCAGTCTGGCCTTTTGCAATAAAACACCTGCTCAGTTCCATAAGTCCTTCAGTCCAAACGACCTTATAGACCATTTGTCCGTACCCTTAAACTGGGCCCATAATGGTGTCCTCGGTCCTAAATGACCAGACGGAACATTTTTCCATCCTCCAGTATGACTCGTATAGCAGTTTCAACATATTTAAAAAGGTCATTTAGAGGCATTTTCTTTATCGTGGCTGAGAGTGTTGATTAGATTCTGTTCGGGTTCTGGGACTGCCTTCAACAACGGAACACACTTTTTAAATCAGAATATGGCACTGCCTCAAGGCCACAATTATTCAAACACTTATTTTACAGCATGGTTGAGTCTTACTGTGATGGACTTCCAACATGTCCAGAGATAGACACCAGTCCCCTAAATCCCATGATTAACACAAAAATACGTTACTTTGAAAAAAGGCCGCTCTATTTATATCTATCTAATAAAACAAATGTTCTGACAAAACCTTTAAAGGTGTTTTTCAGCAGTAAAACTTAAAGGGCCAACATTATGTGTTACTCAGGCATATATTTAAATACTATACCATAATAAAGTATCTGTCACCTTTAGTTGTTATTAAAATGCTGTTTTTATGTTTAAATAGTAACTAAACTAATCTCCTCATCACTTCCTCTTCTCAACGCCTTGAAATTGGCCTCTGTCTCTTTAAGAACCTCCTTCCGCTTCTGTCCCATCCATTTTGGTGCAGGGGGGCTGGGCTGCTATGATGCAGTTTACTTGGCATTTGAAAATACATTTCCTCAAAAGGTATTTTTAATCTGAAAAGAGCTTCACTTTGTGAGAACTAATGTTGAGAGCTCAGCGGACAGTTTAAGTTTCACTTTCAGTTTCACCCGAGAGCCTGCAGGAGTCATGGGTGGGGKKKGKGGGGGGGGGGGGGGGGGGCGCTCTGCCATGAGGACGTTCGGCTTAAAGACACGTCCCAGGGGTGTTTCTGGTCCCCACCTGTCGTTTTGCTCCTCAGCATGGCTTCCTAAAAACGCTGCAGGATTTCTCAAACATGCATGAATGAGTCAAAGCAAGGCTTTGGGCATGTTTTTTATGAGAGTATAACATTATAACATGATATAAAACTCAAAGTTGATTTTACGTGATATTGCCCCTTTAAGGTTATAAATCAAAGTTATTTAAGTGAGTAAATCATCTCAGTTCGGACTAATATACAGTCTCACAGCTGCATGTCATTATTAAATGCAAGTTCGACTCCTAAAATGCAGTTGAGTTGGGTTACAACTTTTTTTTAGAGGCTTGGCCAGAAAATCCTCTTTGCAGTCTCGGTTGCCTTAGCAACGGTTTTATACGGCGAGTGGGGGTGTAATTTAAAGTCTTTGATTCGTGAGCGATTTCCTCCTCAGTGGGAATTGGAACCCTGTCAAACACCCTGACGGCTGAAAGTTTGCACTTACGTCGGTGATTTTCTTGCATGATGTACGTGATGTAAACTGCAAACGGCTGTGTTTTCTTTTTTTTTTTCTTTTTTTTTATGACTGAATAAACTGACAAGCGACACTTTTTTTTTGCAGACCCGGACCCGGTGACTGGGGTCATGGAGTCAGCTGTGGCGGTGGAGCTGAACCCCTGGGTGGAGTACGAGTTCAGAGTGGTGGCAAACAACGCGATCGGGACGGGAGATCCCAGTGCGCCGTCTAGAAAAGTCAGGACCAAAGAAGCAGGTAAATTCTGGATTAGCATTTTAAATCCAAGTCACATTTTGACAGATGGTGTTGTAAAGCAGGGCTATTCAACTGGGGGCCCGTGGGCCACATCTGGCCCGTTAGTGACCAAAGTTTGGCCCGCCAATTGATTCATTCATCTCTTAAGTCTAAACCCCTGGTTTTCTACCTTAATTACTATAAGTTGTTTTAGTTAAACATAGGTCGTATTCAGACCTGATAATTTGCTCCGCTTTAAACGAACCAGAGTTCGTTTCCAGCGTTGGTCCGGACCTTTTCTGCAGGTGTGAATACACTCATGCAAACTCTGGTGCGGATCAAACAACCAGACCGAGACCTGCTTTTTGAGGTGGTCTCGGTCCGCTTCCAAACGAACTCTGGTGCGGTTCACTTTAGTTCTCTTCTGGTGTGAATACAGACCGGACTCTAACCGAACCAACTGCATTAAACATGCACCTTTTTGGACTTCACAGGCCACCGTTGCTGAGCTAAATAAACTGAAAACAAACCTGTTTCGTCGTCTCCTGTTAGCAGCTCTGCTGCAGCATGTTGTGGATCAGAACACGCAGAGCACCTCTTCTCCTTTGGGTTGCGGGACACATTTACTGACGTCGCTCCAAAATTAGAATATCATCACAGAACCACCATTAAATTAGCTGCTTCTGACATTTTAAATGCTATTGCAGTTGTACTATCAGCAAAAATGTGCGCATCAGAACAGCAGCATGCAGGACTTCCTTGTTTTCTTCTGGGTCTGTGGCTCAATCCCGCCCCCGTCCTTTTTTGTCCAATGGGAGCAGTGATCGTCAGCCTCATGGCTTTGTTTACAACTTATAGTTCGTTTGCAAAAAAGCACAATGTGAATGCAAACCTCATCAAACAAAAAAAAATAAAGTCCATTTTTGGTCCGGACCAGACAATTGGTCCAAAGATGGAGGACCAAACCTATCATTATTGGAAATAAATGTATAAATATATAACTGGCGTATTAAAATAAATTATAGGGTCAAAAAGAAGTTTGACAAATAAATTATTGTGCCATTAAATCAATTACATCAATTATTTAGATATAAATGTGTATTTACATTTTAATTTTGAAGGATTATATTTTCTTTATGTGCTTTATCGCATATTTTTTGTTTATGTTTATTCATTACAAGTACATTTGTTGTAATTTGACTTTTCCAAGCCATTATTTTCTTCTTTCACATTTATCACCAATCACATATATTTAAAACATGCTTTTTCACCTAATAATATTTTATTTCTCAAATTATTTTATCGTTCTTTTTTTTCTTAAACACTGATATATTTTCTTCTATTATATTCCTTTGTTGTATATTTTTACCAAACACATTTCCCTGAGCCCATTTATTTTCATCTCTTTTTTTTACATTTCTTGCTGGCTGTATTGTCTTTTCCAGCTCCACATGCAGCAGGGAATGTAAAAACAGAGGAGGCGGTCTTAAGAAAAGCGTCACCGCCCCAGCTTCTCGCCTATTGGCTGAGGTTCCTTTAAACTAGACCTCGGCCAATAGGCGAGAAGCTGGGGTGGTGACGCTTTTCTTAAGACCGCCTCCTCTGTTTTTACATTCCCTGCTGCATGTGGAGCTGGAAAAGACAATACAGCCAGCAAGGAATGTAAAAAAAAAGAGATGAAAATAAATGGGCTCAGGGAAATGTGTTTGGTAAAAATATACAACAAAGGAATATAATAGAAGAAAATACATCAGTGTTTAAGAAAAAAAGAACGATAAAATAATTTGAGAAATAAAATATTATTAGGTGAAAAAGCATGTTTTAAATATATGTGATTGGTGATAAATGTGAAAGAAGAAAATAATGGCTTGGAAAAGTCAAATTACAACAAATGTACTTGTAATGAATAAACATAAACAAAAAATATGCGATAAAGCACATAGAGAAAATATAATCCTTCAAAATTAAAATGTAAATACACATTTATATCTAAATAATTGATGTAATTGATTTAATGGCACAATAATTTATTTGTCAAACTTCTTTTTGACCCTATAATTTATTTTAATACGCCAGTTATATATTTATACATTTATTTCCAATAATGATAGGTTTGGTCCTCCATACCAAAGGACTTTCCTGGTCTGAATACAGACATAGACATGTTTGGTATCTACAGAAACATCAGAATCTTGGCTGGAAGCTGGTAAAAAAAAATTGAATATATTTCTATGAATATCTAAGAAAGTTAAAACTGCAAGCAGTTGAAGATAAAACTATGAAAGTGAAAATAAAATTGGTTTAAAATTTTGGCAAATCAGAGATGTCAAAATAACATTTGTGTTAAATCGGAGGAGTAATGTGTTATTTTTGCATTTGTAATATTATTATCACTACTTTTTTACGTAGGGTTCTGTATGTTATAACCATGATTAAATGCAGCAAAAATAAACAAATTCAAAGGTTACAAATCTTTGTAATACTAGGTTTATTTTCAAAATGACTTTAATTGCTGGATGTTTGGCCCCTGTGCTGTTGGCCTGCATTAACTGTGGCCCCCGGAGCAGTTTAGTTGAATGGCCCTGGTGTAAAGAGTCTAAAAAGATTCAATTGTTCAAACATGGTCTCCCAGGGATCTCACAAGTAAGTTGTATTTTCATTACTTGTGAAAAAAATAAAAAGAAGATAAAGAATGTCAAGTTTTGTTTTGTTTTCCACCAAAGAAGCAGCCAGTCTTTTAATAACCTGAGGCAACAGCACATCACCATACAGTAAATCTGTTCTGTCGCTTCACTAGCTGCTCATTTCCTCTCTAAAACATAATTACAAAGGTCAGTGGTCATTTCAGAGGAGCTTTCATAATCTGCCCCATCTCTTCAGCACAATTAACGGACTAATTAATGTATCTACACACAATTAATCCATCCATAAACTTACAATACGTGAGCCAAATGTCAACAACGGGGTTCCATTACAAAACGCTGGACTCCCTTGTGGTTTTCACTTTGAGTTTTAGATTAAACAGGAGCACAGGGCTAAAGAAGTTTACAATCTTCTGCCAAATTAATTATTCTGATCCTCAGTTGCCCAAAAGTAAAGAAATGTTTCAGTTTGTTGTGTGGGTTTTGTGATGTTGTCTTAACTTTACTTATTTATTTATTTTTGCACAGTTCCTGCTGTGGCGCCATCAAATGTTAGTGGAGGAAACGGCCGCAGGCACGAACTGGTCATCTCGTGGGAGGTAGGTCCTCTGCCAACAAGAACTCCCTCTGTAGAACAAATGTGACAACAAGTGAAAAAGAACATAAAATGTCACAGCAGTTCTGCTGCTAGAGAGGCTCAGATTTGGGTGAATAAGCAGAACGTCATGGGAGCTTTATATTAGTTTATTACAATTAAATGATGGAAATTTAGAAAATTATGTTTAATAGAGAAACTAAGCTAAAGATGCAGCTATTGCATATTTATCTCAGTGTTTTCTGTGATGTAATTTAAATGTTGTCTGTTGGTATTAAAGGGATAGTCTGGTCAACTTTGAGTAATATTCTGTCTGATAGTTATTAATGGTCATGACACCCTTCATGGAGCACAGAGTATTGAAAACAGAGCCAAAGCTCTATCCATCCAGCACAAATACATTTGAATATTGTCACAAACAAGGTGTTGTTTGGTTGAAAAAAAACCCATCAAACTAAACAAACTGTCATGACATTAGCTAATATAGTGTTCTTCCACACCTCCATGTTTTTAATAAAGAGTTGTTTAATAAATCCTGAAAACAAAAATGAATCACTTATTTTGCTATTAGTCTAACCTGGACAAATACCTTTGCCTCTTTCTCCATGCTCTTTGACCGATGTCACGACTAATGAGGTATTAACTATTAATGACTTTTAGACAGAATATAAAATAAAATAGACAGACTAATTAGGTTAAACTTTTGTGAAGCTAAAGGTCTTGCAGTAAGGAAAAACAACATCCAAGCAAGAGCACGCTTTTTCAGGTAAACTGCTTTAAAACCTTGTCAGATTTATAACTTTTAAAACTCACATTAAACTGTTTTTAATATATCATTTTATGCTTAAAATGATCTTTCTGTCATGAACTGAAAGGACAAAAAGAAAGCAAAATATAAGTAAAAATCCGCCTCAAAAGAACTCATTTTCAGTGTGGTTCAAATTAAAACGTGATGAGTGATGTTTAAAATGTGAGCTGTACCCGTTTTTTTTTTAAATAATATATAATTACACGTACACTTTTGAACTATCAGTCTCAGAAACAACTTCTCAGCTCTGTTCTGAAACTGCAGCTTTTCACTGTCCCTGTTAAAATTTGATGATCAGTAAGAAATAAATTCTGTATGTAAATGTAAGTTAATAATGATGTAGAGGTTGCCACTTGGTGCAGTTTTCATCAGAAAACTTTCATTTTTGTTGCTTGGGAATTCTTGTCATGTAATATTAAGGGGGATGGAGCATGGTTGATGAACGACGCCAGTCCTCGTGGTTCTGCTTGAAGGAAACGGATTGATGATTTTACGTTGCACAGATGATTGCATTAGTTTGCAGTCAGTTTTATTCACTCTAGGTAAAATACAGTAAGATGAATAGCTGCGGCTCTGCTTCATGTGTGCTTGGGACCTGTCAGCCTTTTCCCAGAGCCTTCAGAAATGGATCTAATTAAAACGTAGCAGAAAGTCCTTGCAGCTTGTGATGAGAAGAGTCTAGACATGCTAATAAACTAGAGTGAGACTGAACGCATTGAGGGATTTGCCTGTGTGTTTAAAGAAGAGAAAGGAGCACTGGAGACTGACAACATCTGAGATTACACGACTTCTTCTTTGTTATTAAATCCTGTACATTTCTCAATGACACAGCCAGGCCATACCTCTAAAGAAAACTGGTTTGTGCATTTTTTCCTCTTCGTCTCCAGGATTAAGCATCTTAGTTTGATGAATCCAGAGATTAAGGGGAATTTGATGATAAGGCTGTAAAGTTTGGGATAGGAACGAGTTTGGACAAAAATGTAAAACACAGCATTAGGTTTCTTGGTTCTTTTGTGATCAAATTTGCAGAAAAACTGCAGAGTCTATGAAGTATAAGGCATGAACTGTTACTTGAAGGAATTAAACCTTTTATTGTTTTTTTCTTTCTTTTTTGTACGTTATAAATTGAAGATTTTTTTTGATTGAATTTATTTTAAAAAAAGGAGCAGAAATCATGAGATTTTTTCTTCTTCTGCTACCTTTCATTTAATTTGATTTGGGGTTTTTGTAATTTTTTTTGTATGTTGAATTTGTGTTGTTTTGATTTAAATGAATAAACTTTATAAATAAATAAATTCTGTTTAGTAAGTTGCGAATACTGAATGCTAACTGAGAAGAATGACAAACTGTGACTTACAGTGTGGTGAGTTCCCAAATAAAAAAAGTTAAAAAGCTTAAATATCTTCCCTTTTTCTTTCTTTTTCTACTTTCTTGGTTTTAAAAACGAATATGGTATCCATCAGAGCTTTCTTACAATTATCAAAATCCTATTTCCTGCAGGCAGAAAACCCAAAATGCTGAACACACCTGTATTTTTCTGCAACACAATGTGTCTCATGTGTGCCAATTTAGTATTTTTCCCTCTTTTTTTTTAATTTGGGGGGGGGGGGTGATTTAGTATCCTGCTGTGCGTCCTAGTTGGAGGAGAGGTGAATTTAATGGCTCGCTGCACTGATTTGCATTTTGCACAATAGTAAGTCTACCTTCAGAGCACTGATTAATACTGCTGGAATGTTTTTCAGGAAGTTTTTGTGTTTACGACGGGTATTTTAATGACTTGACGCTTCGTCATCGTGTTTTTCGCATCTCCGCCAGGACAATTCTTTCTCACCGTTTGTGAACTTTAAAGTTTAGCATCTGTGCTACGACACAGTGATGCACACAGCCAATAATCTGGCCGTGTCACGCTGTGTGTGAAATTCAGCGTTGGAACTCAGACAACTTGGTGGGATCCAAATACATGAAATAGCACAGGTATTTTTTAAAAATAGATTTTCAGGTTGATGCAATTCCAGTGAGTTTATGTACAGTATTTCTTTTAGACTAAAGGTTGATCAGACATCCAACATATAAATACCGTAGCATCACCATAAAAGCAATTCTCTGTAAAATCTAGAAGGCAGGTCTGCAGCTGCAGGAACTAAAGGACCATAACCCAGATGGTGACGCACAGGCAGTCCCAGTAAGTCATAACCTTTCTGAGAGAAAAAGGCAAGTGAGATGCACATTATATCCAGGAGAATATCACAAAGGTTGAGGTTGTCTTGTGAGGCTCAGGTGTGTGCTTATCATTAGGGCAAAGTGACCTTTTCCCCATTTCAGAAGGGATTTGTTGCCTACCCATCTGCCGTATTCTGTATGATATTCTCTGACTGCCTTGAATCTGAACTCTAGCTGTAAGTCTCTTGGCTGGTCATAAAAGAAAATCAGATATGTTGTCAACTGAACGAACATTAGAGGAGATCAATGGCATAAAATTGGCTTCTGTGAGGGAGAAAAAAAGAGGGTGAAAAAGTTATTATTCAAAGAAAGTCACTAAATGAGATATGACAATGAGCCGTAAGACAAAATATTGAACTTCATCACTCTCCAGGAGGATTTAAGCTAGAAGGCTGAAAAGCATCACTGCATGAGCATTTTACCACATAGCCCTGACCTTTTTAACCCATGTGAAAGAGATTTATGCTTTATTTATGAGATATTTGTAATTGGTACAGGTATGTGTTCTAAACTTGTTCCCAGCATTTGTGGAAGTTGTTAAAATGGCTGTTATTGGCACCTCTTTGCATGTTTTAAAGAGCTTTTCTGGGCTTGATGCAAGCTGTGGAGCTATTACCAGCGGTGCAAAAACGCCTGCTTTCTTCTTAACTGTGCCACAGTGGCTCAAGATCATAGCTCACTGCTTTTTAAAACAGACTCCAATTTATTCCGTTCGAAATTTGTTTCACCAGCCAGGATCGTAAAGAGAGAGGGCACTGGGGCAACTTGGTCACAATTGCAGAACCTGCTGATCAAGCTCAAAGAGGGCCAGCTGGGCTGTGTACGACACAAAGCTGCATCAGCGGCGCGAGTGATTAAGACTCGGAGAATTAAAAATTTGGTCCCAGCAGAGAGGCACAGTGATGATTAACCTTGACTCTTAGACTCATCCCCACTAAATCCAGGGATGTTTATGAATATGTGTTTGTAATCTCCAGCTACTGTGGTTGCAAGAAAATGCAATAAATCTCACACCAACTTAGGAGGATATTAATGTGGACTCGATCCAACTGGACAGCTTGGCTCCCAGCCAGATTCAGGGCAATGCATGTTCAGAATTACTATGAGCAAAGATGATCATTTGCAATTAAGATTGGTTGAAGGATATATTAACAGTGAATGAGTGAACAGATGTGGAGACAACTGACATTTATTCTTGTAGTTATTAAGTACGGAACCCAACTGGAGCTGGGGAGGTAACCTTCACATCAGGAGAAGTGCCCCTCAGTGGCACATCATGGGGGATAATATCCATTCCAGATGGGATGGTATTTGCTAGTTCAACCTCTTTTTATTTATAACTTACAAGTGTGATTACCTTGGTGAGGATAACACAATGACAACCTCCCTACACATTTAAGGCCGTATGTTGAAAGAGCAATCCTAAATCTACATTAAAATAGTTTATTTTTTTAAATGAGGTAGATAAGTGACGTGATATTTTGATGAAATGTTCACAACAGGATCCACTAAGACAGAGGTTCTTAACCTATGGGTCGCGACCCACAAAAGAACAACAGTTTTTAACTTTGGGCCACAGAGGGCCGCGGGACAGCATTGATTTTGAAGAAGGTGCAATAAACTTTCTTACCACTAGTAGCGGTAGTGCGCCACTCAGATGTTGAAACTTATTTTAAATGAAAAGCAGAAGCAAAAATGACGGCAACCCGTCAAAATAGGCCAAAGTTTGTCACTAATATGAAGTGCAGCTTCGCTTTCTATCATGCAGTATTTTAAAAGTTTAAAACATTATCAAATACAGTTGCAGATAAAGCTACATTTTAATTTGAACTTGATCAAATTATTTTTGTAGTTTATTTTTTAATATTTTTAATGTATTTTAAAGAAACTTTAAACTTGTCAAAAAGCTGTTGTTACTGTTATTGTTTGTCAGTAATATGCCCACAATTTTATTTATTGAATTGTCTATTTTTGTTATTATGTTAAAAATTATTTTTGTGTTGATAAGCCTGAGTGGTCTGTTGACTGACCTTTGTATTTGTTCAAATAATTGTTATGGTTTATTTTTTAATATTTTTAATGTATTTTAAAGAAACTAAACTTGTCAAAAAGCTGTTGTTACTGTTGTTAGTCACTAATATGAACAGCAGCTTCTGGTTCTACCATGCAAAAG